GTCAAAAGGCATTAAATAATCGAACAGAAGAAGACAAAAAGACGTGAAAGACACGTTTCGTCAATCAAACCTGAATTACAATCACAACAAAAACTCGCAAACATAAGCCAAAACGCACGCACACACATTCACAACAGTAATTCGGGTCTTCGCTTCGTTAAAGCGATATATTATTCTAAATTAGATGAAGGAAAGCCACTCGAGATCGAACTCATGGAACTGCTAGAAACAAAAAAGCAACATTTTGATGCAAACTGGAAATTCGTAAAACATAGAGAAACAATAGAGTATCAATGAAGGAAAAAGAGAAAAATAGCCATAATACACACAGAGGGCTTTAGAATCTCTGTCTATTTCGTTTAGTTTGTTTTAGCTTGACATTTACAACAGCCAATGGCATATAAGTAGTTCTCGTTTCACTCTTACCTTATTTCCTTTCTTCCAGCCTTTCTGATCATGAAAATAGTAAGAAATACAGCCCGGGGAATAAAAGCCATGTGTCATACTTTCAACGTTCGAACTAACACAGACGCGTACTTGTTACAGCAAACTATGTGCATGATTCTCTATTTCTCCAACCAGTCTCCAGGTGCCGCTTTATTTTTCTTGTTTGACGTTTCCTATCTTTTTGTACAGACGATCAGAGAGGCTGCTTTCTCCACAGTTTGCATATAGGTGAAATGCGCAATCCTGTCATGTTTGAAAACTCTGAGTGAACGTCGTAATTTGAAAATAAAGACACAGCTCTTGATTGAGGTTATTTTTCTTTTCCAAAGAAAACCCATGTGTTCGCACGCCATTGAATTTCAAGACACGGTATTTTAAAAGGAATAGTGACGCATTGGAAATATGATGCATTTGGGTGGATTTGTCAACTTTCTACGTCAGCGAGGTAATAATAATCAAATGCGTGCACCACAAAACTTATTGCTTATAGTGCATTCAAATTTTCGTATTTTTTATAAATAGATTTTTTATTACCTTTTTAAAATTATTTTACATTTAGTGATAGAACACTTAATTGTTGTTATTATTAGTATTATCAATTTGTGTGATTCAAAGAAATTAATGCAAATCCAAATGAACTTTAGGCATAAATACAAAATAGGCAAAATCAAATCGATGTATTTAGATTGTTCAGTTTGATGAATTGTTATTGATATGTTGTCATATCGTGAGAAAATTATTTTTGAAAACCTTTTTTGTGTGACAACTTTACATTCAGAAATTGGAATTAAACCTTAGATTGTTTAGGACATTTCCAATGTTTTTGATCTTTACAAAAGTAGGACGCAACTCACCACTGAGAGCTGTAAACTCTACGTATTACAATCGTACAGCCAGTCTACTCAGTTGCGGTGTTCTTTTATTTTGTATCTCATGCCCGATCCTGGAACAAATCCGAACATAATTCGTGTTGTCAATAAGAGCAAAATCAAAAATATATTCAAAATATTCGACGGACTTTTTTTGTCGCTAAAGTTCTGTCATTAACATTTCAGAATTTTGTTCTGAAGATACCAGCAAAACAATCACTTATGTATATTGTCTCTTGAACAAAAACGAACTGACCTTGTTCTAGCCTAGTTTTCTTTTTGGAAAAATATAAAACTTTCAATTGGATTATGCAAAATGTATAGTATGTATAGTCGCACCACCTTATATTTGTTTGTCAAGTACAATCGGATATAGGCTTAGTGTGTAAACTATTGACTTATTTTCGGTTTTTGTTATGAGAATTTGTATTTCGTAAATTACTAAAAACACTATTCTGAATGTGAACTATTAAATATTGTCAAAACAAATTAATAAAAAAGAATGACAATGTGTCATTCACAAATTAAATGAAAACGTAAGAAGTTCGGAGTATAACATTTGTGAAACCGCATTTTTACTCAAGTAATAAACTTTTAGGTCATAATTTCTTCTATTTTTGTTTATGTTGATCATTTTGAAGGCACTAATATTTATTTAGATAGTTTTTTTTTTTTACTTTTGCGAGCTTGGATTCGATTTCCATTGTTTGATTGATAGCGAAATGAATGCGTTCGGTTGTATGCGCATTGTGGGGACCATGAGTAGGGTAATAGTATTTGAAACAGATTTTGTTTAATGATGAGTGGCGCCATAATCAAAAAGACTAGTTTTTTAAACAATTTATTTCTCTGCTGGCGATTTTGTAAACGATATTCTTATTGAATTATTTTCACCGACCAAACGAACAGTGCAGATTACTACGTACTGTAAATCTTCAACCAGATGTTCATCAGAATTTCTTGATTATCCTTAGAAAAAAAAATTAAATTCATACGTGTATATTTTCACAGAGTGTTTCTACACACATTCACATTGACTTAGATGCATATATTTTTGTCTTTTAACAGATTTTCCGTGATGATCTTACAAACAATGGACATTGTATCTAAACATATATTCACGATGATAAATTTTCTACAAAAAGTCGATTAGATCGAATATCATTTTTTTCTAATTGGTTTAATGCTACATTCAAATGATTATATATTGATTCTATTCAGTGTAAATGCAAACATTTAAATTTTTTATCTTTAACAACTCACAGGTGGGCGCAATTCTTCCAATCAATAAGTGCATGCTAATATGTAGATTTTTTATTTATTGTAAAACGGTCACCTATGGTGAAACCTAGGGGGATTTAACTACGTGAAAACTTGTAAAAAAATGATATAAACGCGCACGAAATTGTTACATTCACCAGAGAACTTGCATGATTCCACTCAGTTGACAAGTTCCGTATTAAAACAACATGCGCGAACGCGCGCGAGTTCGTGTGCAAACGTGAAGCTGGACGATGCGCACACATCAGTCGTTCCATTTATTATATCTGGATTAACTTTTCCAACACTTTCTCCAGCTCTTTAAAAATATTTCCTTTGTCCATTTTATAATTATATAAATCTTTGAACTTTTGGAAAGGATGTGAAAAATCTTTATACACGTAAACAACCGATTTTTAGCTTGAAACGCGTTTTAATTGTCAAATAACAACTTGAAAAACGCGCAAAACCATAAACAAACTTGTGTAAACTTGTGACCGTGCGCGTCAGTACGTACAACGAACGCGTCGAACTCCCGCGAATCAAGCAAACTGGCAAAAAACATGCTGAACTCGTAAGAGTTAAATTCCCCTAGGGTGAAACTAATTTTGTTCTGATAAAAACAATCAAACTACGTTCCAAAATGATTATGTGTTTAATTTTTTTTTTGTCGAAATTTGTTGATGTCGAAAGACATAATATTGAAATTATAATGATTGACCTACATATTTGGAAAAACACTAGCCGACAGCATTTTAGGTCCAGAGATGTGACTAGTATGTTTTGGAAGGGCTTGGCCGTGCAAGTTAAAAATACAGTACGGTTACTTTGAAAATGTTCGTATTCTTTAGAAATTAATCTAAATATATGTGAAATTACTGGTTTTTACCAAGAATTTTTCAACACCAAAGACTGTAAAATTTACAGTTGACAGCGCAGCACCAAAAGTACGATGATTCTTAAAACTAGAGAACTATATCTTTCAAACGCGCCATAGAACATTGAAATCGATTCAGTGGTCTAAAAGTTATGGACCTGAAAAGTGTGGAAACATTATTGAAAAATCTCAATTTTAGCTACATTATTCATGTTTGCTTCAAGAGATCTCTCCGAATTCGTAATTATCTGGCTGATTTTATTTTTTTATTGAAAAATTGTATCAATTTTGAACAATTTAGACCTAACAAATAAGTAACAGCTGTACTTAAGCGCTGGCAAACGTTAAAAATCAAGAAAAATCAAAATTAAATGCAATCCAATAATCATGTTCCGAAGTTACAAAGGTCATATAACTTTGAGAATCTTATTTTTTCATCAAAAACCGAAACCAAGCCAAATTTTTAGCCAATTTAATGGAAAATTTGAGTACTTTCCAAACAAAAGTTTCGAATTTCATCTCTGAAATAGCAAAATTTGTATGGAAGATACCTTTATTTCTTTACCGATTTAACACAAAAGTTTTCACACTTTTCAGGTCCATAACTTTTAGACCACGGAATCGATTTCAACGTTCTATGGGACGTTTGAAAGCTATGGCTCTCAAGTTTCAAAAATTATCGTATTTTTGGTGCTGCGCTGTCAACTGTAAATTTTACAGTCTTTGATGTTGAAAAATTCTTGGTCAAAACCAGTAATTTCACATATATTTAGATTAATTTCTGAAGAATACGAACACTTTCAAAGTAACCGTACTGTGTTTTTAACTCGCACGGCCAAGCCCTTTCAAAACATACTAGTCACATCTCTGGACCTGAAATTTTTCTGAATTTGTTGGTTAGTGAAATGGTAACTAATTGATGAATAATGCTGACACTCTTCCAGAAGGTGCTGTAGCGAGAGCATGTTTAATTCCATTTTATATGTTTCAATGGTAAACAATATCGTTGACTAAATCATTGATGAATGGGAATGGATTTAAGTCATACAGCCTTGAATTTCATTTGTTTTGAAATAATAGATCATAAATATGATAAGAAAATAAAGATGAAAGAAAATTCTTGTCAAGTATTGTTGGCATTTGTGTTGCTGTTCTTTTGGCAAGTAGTTCTATGAAATAAATTCAATGGCGTTATTCTAATTATGCAATCGTTGCTATTGTACATTTTGATGACAATTTTAGAATGATCAATTTTATTCAGTATTTGTATATGCTATTGTATCAGTCAGATATTGTTTAATTTCCTGCAAATGTCCACTTTGTAGTTGTGAAATCTCCCAAATAAGGAGAGAAAGAAAACTTTGAACGTAAAAGAAAACGTCGGAATCCTTCTTCAAGTATGGCATGGAAACACTGTTTTCGTTGACTTTCGTTACTTGATTTCGATTAATGGGAAGGTTTTAATGTATTATTACCACGATGTGAGCAATATTTGACACACCATGCTATATTCCTACACATCTTGAATACTTAGGATATATGCTTACTGTTTTCAACGTTAGATACTTCAGATGAATTTGTTGTACCAACAATGTTAGTGTTGCTTGAAACATGACCATGCAAAGCATTTGTGGACGATGTCAAAGATGATGAATGCTTACGACTTCGACCACCACTTCGTAACGATGTATATGGTGACTTATTTTTAGTCATGTATTCATGGGCATATAAAAGCACTCCAATGTCTCGATAGCCAGCTTCCAATGAAATTTTTAGTGCCGTTGATCCATCCTGAAATGTGGAACGAAACTATATAGGTCTCGATCAAGGGGCGGATTACTACTGAAAAATTGAATTCAGTTCTTTTCAGTACAATGTATAAGTATATGAAAGTACTGAAAATGGCATTAATTTTCGAGGAGAAAAATGAATAGATGGCAGATCTGTCAAAAATCCCGATCTATTTTGATACTGAAAACCATGAAAGGTACTGAAAATATTTTTCAGTTCTTTTCAGTGCTTTCAGTCTTTCCAGTAGTGATTTGCCCCTTGCTCTCGATATATATGACGAAACGTTTATGAAATAAAGTTTAAGTTGATTTTTTTTGTTTACCAAGTCTTGAACCGTTGAGTCACATTCGCTTTGTGCAAGTAGAATTTTGATAATTTCCATGCGACCGTGCTCAGCCGCACACATCAAAGCCGTGCTTCCATCTTCGTCTTGAATATTGATGTCGGCACCAGCATCGAGTAGCATGCGAACCATGTTATAGTTTCCGTGTGACGTAGCCAGCATCAACGCTGTTTGGCTATGCTTTTTGGCTCGAACATTTACATCGGACATTTGGAATAGGCGCTGAACAACCGTTTGATGTTCGGCCACATCTAATTTGGCCAATGAAACCAGCATCACACAAGTATATCCAGCATTATTTGTAGCATTTATGTCGCAAACTTTTGAGTCTAATAATATCGAAACCACGTCGAAATTCCCATGCGAAACCGCATAATGCATTGCTGTGTTGCCCTGTGATCCGAAAATAAAAAATATCAGAATAAATCAGTGTACGTTTAGGAATAAATAAACGTTTTATAACATACGTTCGCATCGGTCGAATTCACTATGTATTTTAGCAAATTCGGTGAATACTCTTCGAAACAATCCAAATAATCTTCGACCTCAAACGGCTGAGCATTTTCCGTGCTTGATATTCGAAACCATTCTTTTTGTACAATTTTGTTGGCATTTTTCAGTGTTGTTGCTAGGTGTTGTCCCTTCGGCAATGATTCATTGCTAACTTTGTCATTGATCACTTTAAGGGCAGCCTGCATCTCTTTCGATGGAGTTACTCTGAAAATCATACGACAGTATTAGCATAATATAGGTATAAATTCAACGATTTTGTTAAATTACTTGTGTCTTGGTTTTACTGAAGAGGCCAGTTGCGAGTAAGTGGATGATGACTTCATTGAGCGACTCCAGAGTGACTCATCGTCGTCGGTGTTGTACGCTGTTGTCGTTTTGCCACTTGCACCTGTTACAGCTGCATCGTGTGCCTTTGTCGAATCATTGACTGCCGTAGTTTCGTCTGAACTTCTATTCTCGATATCATGACTTCGATATGTTGATGTTTGGCTGATATTTGAATGAGTTTGAGTAGTGTTTGCCTTCACGGTGGATGTTGTTGATGTTGACGTTCCACCGCACGAACTGCTGTGAAAATAAAATGACCATGTTGTGAATATGGATTTGATTTCATCCAATTGATGTATATCTATATATATGAACCGTTGCGACAAACAAATTCCCTCAGAATATTTTTGTTTCAAAGTGCAACATGAAATTTTTTTCATATAGAGTTTTCAACAACAACTCCATATGAAAAAAACTTTATGTTGCACTTTAAAACTAAAATGTTCTGAGGGAATTTGTTTGTCGCAATGGTTCATATACATATATTTTCAGTTGTTAGCTACATTTGACTGGTGGCATCGATTTGATGTGTTGGCTCTGATAGTGTGATGCCATAAATTACATTTGATATGACTGGCTGTTCTTTCAAATCATCGTATTTATTGTATTCAACCATTGACAATCAACTTAGATTCTGACACTTTTACGAAAAGTTATTGTTCACTCAATTACAAACGTGAAAAAACTTTGAAATCTACTTTTCACCCGTTTTTTGCAAATAAATTATTTAAATTCAAAATAAAATAATTTCGATATGATTCGATTATAATATGTACGCAAACTTTCTTTGAATGAAATCCAGACAAAACACTGACGTTTCTATTTGTTGTGAGCATGCGCTGTAGCTCAAATTCGATTTAATTGCTCTATATTGCAAACGTTCGCATGAGTTTGAAACGTTTTATTTTTCTTGAAAAAGTCAGTAAAAATGATGTGCAATTTCTGTCGAATTCAAGGTAACACCACAACTCGTTGTTGGTATTGACATTTCATTCATTTGAATCAAAATCAAATTTAATGCTCATACCCATTCAAACTAATATGAATAAAAGAAAGGAATCTCATTACTCACATTAAATAAGCTTCAGCTGGACATTGTGAAACCGATGCATCGGTATATTGAAAAGCGGCCAGCTGTGACGATGATATGGGCGAAGATGGAATGGTGTATGTATTTTGTCTTGTGAACTTTTTCTCGGATCGTGGACTTATTAGTGCTGTAGGTCGGGGAATGCGTGACTGTAAATCAGATGACTGTGTTGTGCTCGACATTTCTTCGTTGATAGTTTCATTGGTTGATGTGGTTTCGGTTGTTGTCGTTTCGGTTGTTGTTTTTGTCATTGATGCAGTTGTACTAATATTACTCGGCACATTTTCAATTTTATTCGGATTTTTAATAATCGTCCTCTGTTTGATCTCGATTTTTGCAAGGCAATTATGACATTGGTGCTCATTTAACAGCGTTGATTTGCTCACATTTTCGCTACTTTCGGCTTTTGTTGTCTCCTTGACTGTCGCATATCGGTCGGTATTTGTTGATTTGTTATCCGTCAAAATTTGATCGGTATTAGTTAGACGATGTTTTTTCGGTAGTAATGCATCTGTGTTTACCCCGCGATGAATGTGTAGTGTCAAGTCACTCGTATCAGTTGATCCAGTTTGTGTTTGGACTTTCGGCGGTGTTGTGAGTGGTGGTGGTTCAACCAGTTTTTCCACACATTGACTGAATTTATTTTCAACATTTGGAGACTGTTGAACGCCAATCGATCGAAATTCTTTTGGAATTTCCGGTAATTTCAAACCAGTTTCACGCGATGAGGTCAATGGGGTAATATTTGATTTGGGAGCATCTAACAGTTTAAGTGATATGGGTGAATCGCTTTGTTTCTCTTCTAATTGCTTAATTGGATCCGTTCCAAATGAACGTGTCCGAATTTTCTCATATATGTTATCAAGACCAATTGATCGGACTTCAGGTCGAGCCATACAAGAACTGTTACAAACATTCGGTATTGCCAACACAGCCACTGAATGCTTTTCAGGTGGTCGCGGTGGTGATGGTTCGCGATCGGTAATCGTTGCTGCACTTTTTGTCAACGTTCTAGGCTCATGTTCACTTTGAACACTGACACTCTTTAAAATTGGTTTTTTCTGTGTTTCGTCAAATGGATTCTTTGCACTAATATCTGTGTTTATGGCCATGGTTCGTGTAGGAATCAGCACTGGAATTGTTACAACGCCAACATCTCTTGACAACGTTTTATTCGTCATGCAGCCCACATTTTGTGTTGACGTTTGAATACTGCTTGAGGAAACTCCAGTATTAGTATGTAATTGTTGTGACTCGTTTAGACTAGAAGAGCTATTTTGAAATCGGATGTTGAGGCTTTCCAATGACGTAGCGCATATATGGTGGTTCTTCCTTGCAATATGTTTATCTAATTTGGCGGCTGTTGATGAATCCATTTTTGTTTTTTCAGCCATTTCAGCTGCCATCCGTAATTCATGTTGCTCCTTTCGTTCGAGCGCATTTTGAAGTGCTTTCAGTTTTAAATGCAAATCACGGTTTTCCGCTTTTTCCACAGACAATTCGAGTTGAAGTTTTGGAATTTGTTTTACACGTTCCTCAAAATCGCGAACACGAGTCAAATTATCGCTCAATTGATTTCGTACACTTTGCAGTTGGTCGCTTAGATTGCGATTTGCCAACGAAAGTTGATCAATTTCAGCGCTATAAATGTCGGATGGCAAAGATTTCGAACCAGTTTCAACACTTTCATTGCGATCATCTTGATGTTGATGCGTTCGCTTTGGTACGCTTCGTGTCGTTTCTGTAATATGAATTTGTTCATGCACTTCCTCAATTGAAACGTTCTGTTGATGAACATTGTTTGAGGTAATTTGTCGTGTATACGATGCTGGCGATATATCAGCTGAATTTGTTGTATAGTGAACGGTCTCCAACTGTTTCTCGTGGCCATATGCATCATGTCGTCCTTCGCCATGTCCTGATATACACGAGCCTATATTGAAAGATAGATGAAATTAATTTAATTTGGAACATTCATTGAACTGATGCGATAGACTTAAAATATATATTTATCATACCGATGCCAAGTCGTAACTTTAACTTTGGTAACTTGATCCGTTTATAGGCATTTCGAATAGTTCTGTGCTTTGGCTGTGGCTCAATTATCGAATTAAAACTCATTGCTGTTAGCGCTTAGGTGCACTTCTTATATTTTCACGATTAGCAATCTAAATGAAACACTATCAAAGCCAGAGAAATCTGCTTACGTCTTTCAGTGTTTTTTTTTTCTTCTTCTTTTTCGTTTTAAATGTAGAATGTTGTTGCTTTGATTGGTGGTGGTTTTGAAGTGAGCAAACAAATTGAAACGTATTTGATTGAATAACGGTAAGTCTGTGTACATAATTAAATCTCTATGTGACTTTTTTTTCGTTTTCTGTTGTTTCTCTAGCTTACTTGCTCTTTTTTCCACTTATTTCTTTTTAAGTACAAAACAACTATACATTTTGAATGCTTATACCCGTGGGCAAACACATTCGCGATTACTCATAATAAAGCGGCGTGTATTTTTACTTTGTATGCAGCAGTGCATGTGTGCAGCATTTTTGAAAGAAAGAAAAATAAAGCGGTACAAAAGCAAGAAATTGTGATATCTGTTGCAAATGCATCGCATTTTTACTTTCTCTTTCTCTCTTACTTTCGTTCGCTCTCTTTTTCCCCTGTTTACTTGCATATAACAGCAAAACCAAAGGATGTCAAACACGTCGTTGATTTTGACTTTGATGATATATTTTTTATTTCTTTCAAGCCGTTTCCAATATTTTTCATAGCCCGTATCCCTAACTAGTTTTGATAGATGCTATTCACACTTATACCGGAAATAATCACAACAAAGTAGTACAAAATTTTGTATGAAATTTGGAAAGTCGACCGTCGTCCAAAAAAAACATTATTTCGTTCAGCTATATCTTGTAATCTGATTTACGTCTAAACGATATGAACAAAATTATTCTCCATTTTCACGACGAAGACACTTTCATTGTGAATGTTTACACTGATGTCACAGTAGTACTGTGTTTCTTGCTTCTCAGCACAAAATTTTGGTAAGCCTCAATCAACTGAGTTGAAGTGCTTATTGTGTTTAGTGAAATGATAAATAACTTAACTGAATTGACAATATTTTATTTGGATTTATGAAAACGATTATATAGATTTGTGTCCGGCTGAATTCAAGCAAGGCAAATCGTTTGCATGATCTTCAAATCAATTACACAATTGCAACTGTTAACACATTATAGCACATCAAATGTTATACTCATTCCGACTTCTGTGACACTTTTCGAGAGCATTTATCAAATCGTTATCAGCCGACGATTACATTTGAGCAGATAGTGCGAATGAAATCGAAATTTATAGACGAATGAGTTGTCCCGTTTCATTTATTTACGCGGGTCGGCCTGTCGCAATCATTTTCAGGAGAAAAAAAATTAGATTATGGCCGACAGCTAAGCGAGACGGTTGCAAAAGATCAAAACAAAATTAGCACTAGAAACCACTAGCATTTTGTTGATAATAATTAGGTGATGTGCAGTACAGATTTTTTTTTTTCAAGGTAAAATAATTATCATATATCAAGTGATGCGTGAAAATTACTTTGTTCCGTTTGAGTAAATTTCTTCGCAAGAATCTACTTAAAAAACAAGCAAAATATAACTCACTCTTTTCTTTCCCTTTTTGGCCACTTCGACCTGAAGCACGTTCAAGTGTCCGTTCAAAATCGCTGTAGACATCAAACAATATATTATTCACAAAATCACCTTGCTCCGGCCCAATATTCTTCTTATTTCTTTCACATGGCTCTTTTTTATAGTCAACATTGTCGTATGGGGAAGAAGCTTTCTGCTGCACTTCTCCGATAACCTGTAAAAATCAAAGCCAGCAGATTTGAGAAATTCAATAAAATTTGGTGTAGATTGTAATTTTCAGCCATCACTGAATAGAACCGTCAGGAAAAGAAAGCTAACATTAGCAATGTGTACGCAAATACGGGACTTAAATCGTATGTACGCAAGAAAGACATTTCATACTGTTGTATTCCGATTTTTTTAGTTTAGACTATTACAAAAACGACATGTTTCTCTTTTGCGTTCGACTGGTTTTAAGTTCCTGTTACACATTTCGTTGAGGTTTGCTCCTTATTCTCAACGGTTCTAAATGTTGAGCTAAACATTCGGAGCTCAACTGTTATCTCTCGGGTAGCATAGATTTCTTTTTGTTGATTTATTGGATGAGAATATCTATGAAATGGATGTCATTTCCCTTAGTGTAGCACAAATAACTTATGAACTTTCTCTCAAATGATGCGTTTCAATCTATATATGTATTCCTACCTCATAAACGGTTTCGAAATCAGATTTTCGTTGTTTGGCTGGATGCGATTCCTTTTCAAAATCCAGCACCCATTGATCTTCAAAGCCAAGCATCACTTCAAGGGATTTGCGTTGTCGCCGTTTATTTCGACGATCCAATTGTTTTCTCGATGGACTTTTACCGTTCGCAGCTAATTCTTCACAGTATCGAATAAAGTCCAAATCGATGTGGAAACCTTTAAATATAATTTATAAATATTGGTTTGGTTTTTGGCAAAAACTAATATGAAGCTGAAAATATTGGAATACAATGCGAAGAACACAATTATTTACGTGTAATACATAGAATAAACATTGATTTCGATATATTGAAAACGTACCATATGGACAGCAATTGCATTTTTTAAGTTTCGTTTGACTTGTTGGCATAGCATTCGTAATTGGCGGCTGCGACGACGACAACGGTGGCGGTGGCGGCTGTATCGGTGGCACATAATTTGACGTTTGTTCATAGTACTCTTGTTCATGTTCTTTGTAGAAATGATAGGTCGATGCTTTATTTTGTGTGGGTTGACGTTGCTCTTGAATCACAAAATTATCCAGCAGTAACGATGACGACATTTTAATCTATTTGGATACATTGGAAATGAAATTTAGGCATATTTTTTTGTCATCAAATTATATATTCAATAGTTTTCGTCAGTCAACAGTCATTTAAATTTGTTTCCGTAAAGTAAACAATTCGCCATTTTCAGTTCAAAGACAAAACGGTCTTTCACTGAAAAATATCATATCTTTTGTGACAAATATGACCAGCTCAGTTTCATGCTTGCATTTTAGAAAAGCAAATATCAAAAATATATATAACATATTCATTTTTAGTCATCTACTATTTCTTTTAAAGCCCAACTGTAAAGTATAACTTATACAAGCTATAAATAACACCGAATATAGCCCATTTAACGTTTCTTGCAATCAACAAGACAGAAAAATAAACAGTGGTTCCTGTATGTTTGAGCTCGTTGCCCTTTGTTATACCTAGATTTTAATCTATGAAAATTGCTTATTCTTCAGAAAAATTTGTTACTTTTTTTAAATTAAAAACTTCGATTGTCTGTCTGTCCGGTTTCTCCTGAAAATTACATGAGATACTATTTTTGATTCAACATCAAAATAAAATTATTCATTTCTATCACCCACACATCCATCGACCAAGATTTTAAAATCATACCTGATCCAACTGAATTGGACTATATATTTCGCAGCTGAAAAATGAAAATAAACAAAGGTTTTTGGATACAGGAAATAGACCTTCTTGCAGAATTATTTACTGAACAGTTGTGATTAACATTATTTGTGTCAAAGGGTATTCTGCTTTTACAAGCTTGAAAATGATAAAAATGATGTAGACACAATTCAAAACCATTTTCTGTGACCTTGCACAGTGCGACATTCCCCAGCCAGGTTTTTGAAAGATACTCTGGAATTACTATAATGTGATCAAACACTTGAAAAACGATCGTTTTATACTAGTTCAATGATCATTGCAAATATTATTTATTATCACATAATATTTCATCTAAATAGATAACGTTTGTTAACTTGTTACTGTATTGTTTTTGTTTATTCTAATGAAAAAGAATTTGTGAAACTTGCTACCAAAATATAGATTCTTGTATATAAAATAATACATTGAGCGCGTGTTAATCGATTACGTAGGTATATATGGAATTTTGTTGTTGTTTCAAATCAGGGAATGTCTGCACGTAGATTTATTCAAATAAATTAAAAATATCAAATAATTTTTTCCGATATTGTTCATTCGTTGCGTTGTTGTAACACATCTGCAGTACAAAGCTCATATTCTCTTCCGGATTTGCCAACTCAGCGAATCCTGTGGAGCAGGTGGATCCGACCTGGTCCAATGTATTCTGGAAGTGAAGTCCTCCAGTGCGCATCCTTTTAGGATGCTGAATCGCATTGTTTTTGCTGAATTCCACTTGGAACACCCCCAAATTTGAGTTGGCAAATCCGGAAGTGAATATGAACTTTGTACTGCAGATGCGTTACAACAACGCAACGCATGAACAATATCGGATAAATTTATTTGATATTTTTAATTTATTTGAATAAATCTACGTGCAGACATTCCCTGTTTCAAATAAATGCCATTACAACAACAAAAACACGGGCTACTAGCCGACATACACATGATCGTCAGTAGTGGGATCCAGTATGTTACAGTGTAACATTGTTACACCTGTATGCAGAATCGAACAGATTAGCATCTCGTTATTTATAACTTTCAAAATGCTTCGTAGGATCGATGGTGTTGGGTAATATACACTGAGTCGAGTACGACGGTGAGGAGGTTACGTCATCGCATCCATTCCAAAAAAAAACAATGTGTTGTTTTGTGTGTGTATATGCGTGCTGTTAAAACAAAGTTGAAACGTTAAATATTGACTAACAAATCAGCCAAACACTCTTTGCTTTTTTTTAAACAACAAACACACAAAATAGATGTTAAAACATGATTGCTAAATTGACACATATGTGTAGAACATCAGATTGATTTGCACGGTTTATTGATTTCTCTGTATCGATTTTCTATATCCAGTATGACATTTGATTGAAATTATCAATTTCAGACACGCCTGATTTCTTATCGGCAAAAAATGTGTAACAATTGATGACAAACTGATAATTCTATGTCACTTTATTTGTATGCATGTGTTAACACGACCACAATTTTTGGGCACATGCAAATCGTTTTGTGATAAAAATAGAAAATGCCGTCTTAGATTAAAAGATGATTTTGATGCTCAGTTTTTGAACGTTACTCAGCTAAATAATTTGAAGAAAAAACATAATATTCTACACCAAATACCATAGATTCTGACACCAAAAATTTCAGATAGGGTCAATAAAATCAAAAAAGTGAAGACCTAAAAAAAGGTCCTCACTTTTGGAAATCGATTCTATCTAGTGCAAAACTGGTTTCGGAAAAAAAATCAACGGTTCATGCAAAACACATTTAACGCATTTGACGTCCTCAAAATAGGTCACTGCATCATTTCACATTTGATCATAATTATCTATTCTTTATTATTTGGAAATGGAGATATACTTATAAGAGAGTGAAAAACAACGACAAGAGATCTACAAGAGATCTATAAATAAACGATTGCAAGGCTGTGGTCAAGAATAAAAGAATGCCAGAATATTTTATGTTATAATATTTGATTATATTGATTGAGTGTATATATTCAATATATAGAGATAGCGCTAGAGAAAATAATAACTTAATAACGTAAGAGAGATGTTATGTTGCATTTAACGACTTGAATACTTACAACATTTTTCATTTCAAAATCAATGATGGGTCAGATAAATGCATTCTATCTAGTGTACAATCATTCTTCAAAATCAATGATGGGTCAAATTATTGTCCAAAATTCAATAATGGGTCGAATAAATCGATTCTATCTAGTGTTAAAGGTTCCCTTCGGAGCAAAAGTGAGGAGCAAAAAAAAGATCCTCACTTTTGAAAACAAAGTCGGAAAATGACTATGGGTCCAAAAAAATTGGTTGGAGGTCAAATTTCACCAGCAGAGGTCAGGATCAACGAGATCAGACTATGTCAGAATCTATGCTAAAGACTGACTTCAGACATAAATATGGGACCATGATTTAAAATAATGTACAAAATATTTTTAATCTCACATAAATCTTATCTCAATTTCGTTATCCATGAAACTATATCGGTTTTGCTTGCAAACCAATTTTTCTAACGCTTTTGCATAAAATACATTTATATTACGTTTTTAATATATTTTATTGGTAACGTTTTTAAAATCAGATTCCCATACATCTCGATTATTTCTTTAGTTGAGATTATTCTATATCTAACTTGTTGCACCTATTCGGAATCCATTTACAAATGGATGTGCTGGTATATATTATGTATGTCAATAAATAAATACCATTGTTGACATGGAACGTTAGTTAACTAAGCCAATAGAAGGTAATCATTTATTGTGTGGTTACACTGGACTATCTCTCGCACTTGACGTTGTCACTACGCGAATACTTTTGATCCCATATAAATACGGTCTATACGGCATAATTGATCGAAACAATGCTCTTAAAATTTAAGCGAACTGATGGCAAATACCATCATTGAAATTGATATCAAATGTATTTTCCAATTTTTATAAAATATTTGCTTTGTTACACTAAAAAATTCGATGGGTTTCGATGCATTTGATCAATGATTTGAAGCATATGTGGCAAAGAATATAGCATCTTAAGATGAATATACCCAATGATATGGATAAATGCTTTTGTATGCACAAGCACACACTCATACACATGTGAAATGCACACTCACACACTCGCTGCATTGAGCGGTGTCAATGCAGGTGCCACTGCAATTTCGATTTGAATGAATTTTCGAAGAGGTTTTTTCTGTGATATTATGATATTCCAGTTTAAATGTCAGTCGATTTACGTGGAAAAAGTATTGATAATATCAATTTGATATTGTTATTTCACCATTTAACCAAGTTATATTTTCATTCATATGAATGTAACGCAATTAATTGCGAAAAATACCTATATAGGAAATACCTTTGAAAACACAACTTCTTTCGGTGATTATTTACTCAATATTTTTTTTCCGCCAAATACTTTCTATTCAAAATTCGGTCGACACGTTTTTACAATAAATTTGTTTCCATACTTTCGATAGTAAACTAAAAAAAAAAACACTTTGAATAAATTCACCAACTGCTTCGATACACTACTTAGAAAACACTAGAGATGTGTGTGCACAGCAGCCTCGTTTCGTACTAGATCGACTTGAGTGAACGTAAAAAAACGCAGCACACAGCAAGTCGCATCGTAACACCTTCACAAATATTATACCAAACGAGACAGAGACTATTGATGTTCATTTTTTTTTTGTCGACCATTAATGGATTCATTTATTATAGCGTTTTTCCAAACGAACAATCGCATTTCGATATATAGATATTTACAACAATTTTTGCGCAAGAAAGAATGTGTGGTGTATAGACTTTATGAATTCTATTGCTGCTGAGCACCGAACAACGCATTATCAAGTAAAACTGAGCGCGATCGCAGTGTATACAGATAAAGCAAATATTATTATTCGTTGGGTTGCCGCCGTTCAGCTCAAGATCATTCACAAAGAGAAAACGAGAAACAGAGAGAGATAGAGAGAACAGCAACGTGACACACAGCCTCTGCCGCATATATATACGTGCAATAGAGAGATGTTAACTCGTGAATGATAAAATAACACGTTGTATGCCATCACAGTCTATACATTTTTGGTTGATTTTAGTTCACATTTTCAGTCGCACGCATTGTCAACATGCATATAGTCTTTTTTTCTCTTTCTTTGCGCATTTCAACAGTGACGATCAACTAGAAACATGCGGCTATCGCTCTCACAACAACTATTAACATCGTGTTGGCGCTCAACGTGTGTGTCAGCCAAACGTGAAATAATAGAGAAGCAAACAGCTCGATGGTTTTTTTAATAATTGCAATTGATGAGGTATGCTTTTACCGTAAAATGCTATAAACCAACAAGATTCGCAGCACACTTTTTCACAAATGTTACTACTTTTTAAATTCGAATATATATTGTAAACATTGCGTTGACATAAATAACATTTCAATCAATTGGGGCAAATGAGAGAAAACCAGACCGCATATCGTCGCTTCGCTCCGCTCTGCGTTCTTGAAGCTTGTAAATTTAAGGGGTTTAATTATTTGATGTTTCCCATCAAATTGTGATCGTAAGCAATTGTTATCGTAGTATTTGTAAATCATTTTAATATTGTCAGAAATAATTAAATAAATTTATAATAGGACATTTTTATGTAATTTCACATTGGTAACGAAAAAAGTGTAAATTTTTTTTGAGTTATCTCAAAAGTGAATTACATGAACGTGATTTTATTTCATTTTTGCAATAAGACATAATTGCTTCATTTGAAATAAAAAATTTGGATATTAAAATTAATCAATTAACGGTCCAAAAAATGGCCTAAAGACAGCTTTTTGAAGCAAGCATTCGCAACGCTCCCATATAAAATGTATGGAAGCATTCGCAGTGGCATTCGTAAACATTCGAATGCGAGTATCACGCGAATGCGCTGCGAATGCGGCGCGAATGTTTACATACATTTTATATGGGAGCGTTGCGAATGCATTAATCTACACGAATGCCAGTGTCAGCTGTCAATTCAACGCTGAAACATGTCAAAAAAAATTTACACATAAACAAAACAAACATTTATTCACAATCTACTGGTTGAATTCGTATAGATGAGCTCAAACGTACAGATTTATGTGTTGATGAAACCACAATCTGAGTGAGATCTATTTTGAACAAGTAATTTCGGACGTTTTGTGATAGTATTGTTCTATAAGTCAATGGCACTGCCCAATGCTTGTTCAAAGCATTTCATTCATTTACATAAATTTACGCAACGATTGATCGATGCTCCTAGAAATCTATTAACTGTGCGTGGAATAAAAAAAACATCTAAAGGATGCAAAGCCTAGGGGGATTTAACTACGTGAAAACTTGTAAAAAAATGATATAAA